ACAAGAGATCAGAATTGGGGATGCACAAGAGATCAGAATTGGGGATGGTCAAGAGATCAGAATTGGAGAACTGTATAAACCTCAGAGCTGTGGGGCTAGAGGAGATTATAGAGATCAGGAAAGATGAAGCAATGGGTACATAGAAACAAGGAGGCAAATGTTAAGATCAAGGTATTGTTTAATTGGGAGGCAAGCTAAGTCATATAGTGATGAGTGAATAGAACCTGTGTAAATTAAGATTTGGGTAGTAGAAATTTGGTTAATTTTTAATGGAAGGTAAAATATGAAATACCAGCTGGAATTATGTTGCAATATTCTTAGATAATAAAAACATGGATGAGGATTTTGGCAGGGCAGGAGATGAGCTGAGATACAGACTACAGATATGTTGTGAAGGTAGAAATAGAATGACTTAGAAATGGCGCATTATGTTGTTAGAAGCACATTTCAAGTTAACAAGATTCCCAAGATGGTAAGCAGTGCAATTCAGCCTCAGCCAGTTTCCAGCAAGAAAGCTAAAGCAGCTAATTGGGGAACATAGTTTTTGGCAGTGACTGAAAACTCTCAGGGCGAGAACAAGATGGGGGAAGTGCAGTTGTTCATCAGGAGTCAGCAACAAATATGCTGGTAAGATTTTGGAGATGCTAAGAGAAGCACAAAGGGAAGCTGTGTAATTATCTAAACAGGAGTCAAAACTGTGGCTGGAGAATAGTAATGTCAAAGGTGCTGAAGAATTGACAAGGAGAGATAGTGCACTACAGTCACAGAGGATGGATAACTTGGAAGTACAGTGAACTGTGTAGGGTGGAACAGGCAGACAAGTGGGAGATGAAATTTAATACAGAAAATTTTGATGTGGTAAATTTTGGCAGAGAGAATGAACAGATGCAATAGAAAATGAAAGATAGATTGTAAAAGGGTATTGGAACTGGACATGAGTGTATATGCAAAATCTTTGATGGTGGGACCACAAATTGAAAACCTGGTTAAAAAGCCATTTGGGTACTAGGCTTTATAAATAGAGACGGAGTACAGAAGCAAGGAAGCGATGCTGAAGCTCTGTAAAGTTCTGGCCTGGTCTTAACTGAACTAAATGTGTCCAACTCTGAACACAACAATTCATGAACAATGTGAAAGATTTAGAGAATGGTTCAGGGATGAGGAACTTCAGTTGTGTGAACAAAATGAAGAAACTGGAGTGTCCTTAGATAGGACAGGCTTAAGAGTGATTTGATGGATGTGTTCAAAGCTTTGAGGGGTCTAGATCGAGTAGATAGGGAGAAACCTTTCTCATTGAGGCAAAAGGTCCAGAACCAGAGAACACCAACTTAAAATGATTGGTGAAATGTGACATGAGGAGGTCTTTCATACGGCAAGTAGTCAGAATCTGGTATGTGCTAATGGAGCATGTGTCGGAGATAAACATAATTAGAGATAACAAAGTGGATCTGAATATCTTTGTGATGTAATCATTCTAGATTCTATTTCACTTGTAGCTTTGATTAGGACCATTTTTGTGCTAAGTTGCCAATCCTATTTGCAGGTATTTATTATCAAAGGAATTATGTGATGTAGCTTCATTTGTTCTGCTGAGAATATTATCCAGTACCACCTCTTTCAAATAATAAAAATGCAAATTGATGTTTCGTAATTTGAATAGTCAACTTGTTTCTGAAATATCAAACATTAGACCCTACTGTTCAGAAGTGTGACACAGAGAAAATGTTAAACTCAGTCACTTACAGTCTCAGCATTAGTGATGAAACTACGACAGAAACTGATGAAGCAGCCATTGCTGCAGATCCCATCCATGGCTGTAAAACTAGGCCGACTGGCAAAAAAACTCCTAGAAATTTGGGAGCACATAGCACATTTAAAACATAAGAAGAAGTTACTCTAATTTCGATTAAACAAATCAGCTGAAGCTTAAATCTAAGAATCTTGAATGAAATACGCACAAGATTTAGCAGAGATTTTGACTATAATTTTCCAAAATTAATTGGAATGGTGAATAGACAGAAAATTGGATGATAAATGCCAGGTCAGTCTTAAAACAAAGAATATGAAGCTGAACTAAGAAATTTACAGTCCACATAATCTTACTTCAGGAGTTGAATATATTACTAGGATAGAAAACAAATGATCAAACTATCAAGCACTGAGAGAAACACAAGGCTGCATTTAATTCAACACAGTTAAATGTTGTGTACCCAATTGGCAAATGCCACTGGGGGCAAACCAGCAGAGGCAGGTGAAGCCCCTAAGATAGAATCCTAGAATCCCTAAAGCGCAGAAACAGACCATTTGGCCCATCGATTCTGCAATGACCCTCTGAAAAGCATCTCACACAAACCCCCACCCTATCCCCATAACCCCACATTTACCACGGCTAATCCACCTAACCTGCATATCCCTGGACATTACAGAGCAATTTAGCAGAAACTGGAGCACCTGGCAGACACCCACACAGACAGACAGTGGGAGAAAATGCTAATTCCACACAGATAGTTAAGTAAGGCTGGAATCCAACCCAGGTCCCTGACCACACGACACAGCATTGCTAACCACTGTGCCACTTGTTTGTCCTCAATCCTTCACTGTTCTCACGAGGAAATGAAAAACATACAATTGTAACATTGTAACAAAGTTATGCAGAATTATTTTAATTGATGCAAGATATCAATCTATTATTTATATATCTTTCTCATGTTACTATCTTTCATAGTTACTGTTTGTGAGGTCTAAATTTAACAATCATATTGCAAAAGCAATGCAATGTCTCCCTTTTTTGTTACATAATTCATGTGGCAAGAAAGATATTTTAGGACAATTGATGTGGTATGACACCATCTTGATCAGCATAGTATGTGCACAAAGTGACTAATGTTTTTGCCATAATTTTATAACACTCAAGAGATAGTTGCCTTCCTGTTGAAGCTACAGTGGAATTGTAAAACATTAGTTAAGCAATTTCTAGGTGTTTTCAAATGGGTGATTTACCTTCATTTCCCCTTAAAAATACTTCTAGCAATCAGCTCCAACAACCAGCAATACTATTTGGGCTCAATAAAAGGTCTGTTCCCCAGAAGACGCATGGAAAACATCTTTCTAGAGACAGGTCCTGAAAGACTGCTGGAAGTTTTAACCTGAAGGCAGCTGCATTAACCTCAAGTTTGGGAATTTCAATAGTATTAGCACAGTACTTACATAATTTAAAAGTGGTTTGGTTATAGAATAGCAGTAAGCATGTAACACCAGTACAAGATTAAATATTGCCATGTAACATTTGCAGCAAATAAAGCAGAGAAACACACTGACTCACCAGCAGCAATAGGGATTCCTACAAGGTTATAAATGAAAGCAAAAATAAAATTGATCCGAATTCGACGAACAGTCTGTTTCGACAAATCAATACAAGCTACAACGTCTAGCAGATCATTCTGGGGGCAGAACAAAGAATGCATGATAGCACAAAATATAAACAAATAGCAATTTTTATCCTGATCTATATTTACATAATCTAAGTACTAAAGTTAAGAGCTAAATAAATAGGATATGAACATAAACATTGACTCACCCTAATAAGCACGACATCTGCTGCTTCAATAGCCACATCTGTGCCCGTTCCTATGGCAATTCCCACATCAGCTTTCGCCAGGGCTGGAGAATCATTTACACCATCTCCTACCATTGCCACAGTTTTCCCCTGATCCTGAAGTTCCTGCACTTTGGCTACTTTATGGGAGGGAAGAACCTCTGCAAACACTTTCTTGATGCCAACCTTAAAAAGTGGAAACATTTGCATAAACAATTAGAGAATTTGTTGCATATATTTGCATTAACCGTAAAATACTTTGATATTTTTAATTTCTGACGGCTGTAATCAGGAATAGTAAATGGGTCAAGCATCTCTTAATTCCAGGATCTGGAAAATGTCTTTTAAAAGTATTAGTCTTGAAAGCTGAAGAACTTAAAATATGAATGCTGATCTTTCACCTCTGAGGAGGCAGCAGTGCATAAAGTGTATTTATTGGTTCACTCCTGGACTATAGTAAGGTAGTAAGGTGACTGGATTCTAAGAAATCAAAAAAAAGAGTCATACAATAATTTCAAAGGACTAGGTTTATGATTATTACTCTAATAAAAAGCCCATTTACAAAAGAACAATTGTGATCAGCTTCTGGATCTTCTGAGAGGATTGGATAACCTTTGCCCCTGTGGGTTCAGATGGCAGCACTCTTGCCTGTGAGTCAGTATATTGTGGGCTCAAGTTCCACTCTACAGACTGGAATATAAATGTCTAGTGCATTACTGAGGTCTAATTTTCAGACAGGTTAACTCTGTCTGCTCTCTCAGGCACATGTAAAATCTATTTTGAAATTATTTCATCAAATGCAGTGAGTATCCTCACAGGGATCAATCAAACTTTATTAAAATCTACCTGGCTGGCAATGGCTGTTGCTGTTTTGCGGTTGTCACCTGTTAATAGCACCACATCCACTCCCATATTTTTCAGGGTGTACACGGCGAGTGCAGCTTCAGGTTTGACTGTATCTGCAATTGCTATCATTCCACACAGTGTACCTTTGAAAAATAAAATATATCATTCACTCAATCTTAGGAAATACCATGGCAATCTTTTTAAATGAAATCTGCACACGATATTTACAACTCTTGCTTTTGTGCTCAGACACTTAGCACTGATCAGTATACTTTTCAATGTTAATCAATATCATTGCATTACATTTCCTCATAGCAATTTTGGGCACCCTGTATATATTTACTTCATACAAATTTATTGGAGTATTACCATTTAGTTACCTAATCCCCCCCTGTCCAAAGTCACAAAGTTCTAGCAGTTTCCATTTAATATTTTCAGTACATTATCTTCTTTCTTTGCTTAGCTTTCAGCAATTTTCAGCTCTGTTAAATTATTCTTATTTTAAGCAACCACCCAATAACTATTTCATGCAACAGGATGAGCAATCCTAGGACTTTCCTGGTGCCTGCTGTTTTACTGGCTGTCTTTTATTCTATTCAGTCTTATTGAATAACTCACTTATCTTGACCCAAACACTAACCGGACTTCTCTTTTTACTAGCGCTGTAAATTCCTATTCATGTCAACTCTCCAGTTTCAGCACCTACAGCTTTACTTTCAACAAAGAAAGAGTGAAGCAGGCATAACAAAAATGACTCAAAACATCACAAGATAAAAAACATTGAAAGTACAATGATCAGTGTCTAATTTATCTTTATGCTCCTAAAAATAGAAAAATACACCCTATCTTTAAAGATAGCCGAGGAAGTCACACCAAAATTAATGGAATTATTTTGCAAGGAAATATATTCTTTTGCCGCTAAAACTTTCAACTACAGTTCTTCTGCCTAAAAAACGTTTAATCTTGAGGACCTTCTTGAAGCCAGCAAATGGGTGCAATTAGTGAAACCTTGCAACAGTGATTAATTCAATTAGAGGCATGGCCAGATTTAAGGCTGGAGTTGGCTTCCAATGGCATGCATTGCAAACCAACGCAAAATATTGCGTGACTTGTGCTGGACATATATTGTACTTGAAACTTATTTAAACCACTACACTGGTTAATTCAGTTTAGGACAAATTGAGCTGAAAAGTATCAATGCAATCTTATCCTTACAATTTATTTTTACATAATTCAATAGGAAATAACAATTCATATCACACAAAAACATTATGAAAATGTTGTTCATAAAAACATTATGTTTTATTACACAAGATTGTCTGCAAGTAAGTTTCTTCTATTGGTTTATGGTAAGTGGACATCGCTGGCAAAGTCAAAATTTACTGCCCATCCCTATTTCTCTCAAGAAGGTGTTAGTAAGGTGTCTTTCTGAATTGCTGCAGACTATATGCAGCAGGTACTCCCACTGCTTTAAGGGAAGAAGTACCAGCATTGTGACCCAGTGACAGTAATAGAATAGTGATATATTTCCAAGAGCTTGACTTACATGGGACCAACCCTACAGATGGTGACGATTCCACATGCCTGTTAAGCGTGTTTCTTTAGGTACTAGAGGTTGGAGGTTAGCAAGGTGCTTTCAAACAAATCTTCACATGCGGCAGTATATCTTGTAGATGATGCCATTACGTACCAGTGAAGTTGCAAGATAAGGTGTCAATTGAGTAGGCAACTGTAACTTGATTGGTGTTGATTTCCTAGAGATTGTTGGAGTTGCAGTTTTCCATTCAAGCAGGGATATTCCATCACACTTCTGACTTGTAACTTTCTGACGGTAGAAAACTTTTGGGGAGCCAGGAAATGCTTTCTCCACTGCATAATTCCTTCTTCTGACATGTGCCATTTATGGGAGTGACCCAGTTGAGTGTGTTGTTAATGGGAATTCTCAGGATATTGTTGGTAGAGAGAGTTCAACAATGGGAGTACTGCTGAATGTTATGAGGAGGTAGGTTAGATAGTCCCTTCTCAGAGATGGCGATGCCATTGAGAGTCACTTCTGTGGTGCAAAAGCTACCTGCCACTCATCTAGCCAAGTCTGATGGTTGTCTAAGTCTTCCTGCATGTGAGTGCTGCCAGCTTCATTTTCTGAGGAGTTGTGAATGGAACTGAAGACTGCAAAACTCCTGACTTATAAGCAACTGAAGTTGGTCCAGCATAGGACTAATCTATGCAATTCTTGCAGGGACATCCTTGAGTGAAAATTGGCCTCCAATAATATCGGCTTCCTTTCCTGTTAAGTATTACACAGACAGTGGGGAGTTTCCCCATGATTCCTAATTACTTGTAATTTTACAAAGGATTCTTAACACTGCAATCAGTCAAATGTTGCACTGATGTTAAGGGCAATCACTCTTAATGCACCTCAAGAATTGAACTCTTTTGAATGCCAATCAACACAACCATACTGCTGCGACTCAGGTTTTACACGTAGGCCAGGCCAGATAAGGATGGCAGATTTCCTTCTCTATGGATATTAATGAATCAGCTGGGTGCTTTTTTTTTTTTAAAATGACAATCTACGACAGTGTCATAGCCACTATTTTGGAGTATCCAGATTTTGAAAAATTCTACGAAAATATAATTCCCACCAGCCACCACAGGGTGAATTGAATCTGGAACCCCAACCTCTGAAAATTAGCATGGATTGCTGATCCAGTATTATCACACCGCCACTATCTTCCACATAAATTGCAGAATCCAAACTTTTTGTTCTTTGTTCTTAGTGGTTAGCAGATTATTACTGAGCATGTGCTGCTTGTTTCAAATGCCAGTGGTCTCTTTTCTCACAATATTGATGAGTAAGAGTAAACTGACAGGATGGTAATTGGCTAATTTATACTTGTCCTGCTATTTGTGAATCGAAAATATCACGGAAACTTTCCATTTTATCATGTAGATGCAAGTTTTTTTTTGTTTGTTCCCTAAAGGACATTGATGAGCCAGATGTCTTTTAACTGAACTGTTACATGGGTTACCATTAAAGTAGCTTTTCATTACTGGCATTTTTTAATGAATTCAAATTTCACCATCTACCATGGTAGCATTCTAACTTATGTCCTTAGCATATCAGTTTGAACTTGTGGATTGCAAGTCTAGCTATAATACCACTATGCATCCACCTCCATGGTGTCAAAAATATATTAGAACAGCTTGAGAAAAATTTAAATGTATCTAGCACAACGCCTGGCATGTTGTTGAGGTCCTTAGTTTTGCTGCAACCAGCATCTTGTCATTTCTTGGTAACATGTGTACTGAATCAAAATGACTAATACCTAGCATCTTTTTTATTCATACATTGAGGGGACATGGGTTTTGCTGGCTGACTAGCATTTATTGGCCATTCCCAGATGGTGTTGGGATGGTGATGGTTAACTGCCTTCTTAAACCACAGCAGTCCATTTGATGAATGTGCATTCACAGTCCTCTTAGAGACGGAGTTCCAAGATTTTGATCCAGTGATACAAAGATGGTCAATGAGTTGACAGAAACTGGAATATGGTTGTGTTCCCATGTATCTGTTACCTTGGTCTTCTAGATGGTGGTGGTCATGGGTTTGGATGGTGCTATCTAAGGAGGCTTGGAAAATTTCTGCAGTACATCTTGTAAATGGCGCACACTGATGCTACTGTGCACCAGTGATGGTGTAAGTTTTATGGATGTGGTACCAGTCAAGCCGGATATCTATGTAGCACAAATGTTACTTGCTACTTGCCAGTCAAAGCCTGGATTGTCGAGGAGTTGCTGCATTTGGGCACGGAGTGCTTCAGCATCTGAGTCACAAATGACGCTGAATACTCTCTGATCATCAGTGAACATTCCCGCTTATGATGGAAGGAAGGTCACTGATGAAGCACTGAAGATGGCTGGACCTGGAACACTATTCTGATGAACTCCTGCACTGAAACATAAATGCTGATATCCACTGACCACAATTCCATTGTGCTAGCTATGGCCCCAAACAACTGAGATACTGGGAACCAGGGAGGGAGTAAGTTTAGTTCCGCTAGTATTCCTTGATGCTACATTTGGTCAAATGTAGCCTTGTTGTCAAAGGCAGTCACAGTCTCACCTCACCTTGCAAAATTCAGACCTCTGAGTTTATAAGAACTAAGGTCATAACGAGTGGCTCTGAATGAGCCCAAACTGAATGCCAGTGAGCAGGTAACACTCCTGATGACCCATTCAGTCACTTTGCTGATGATTGATAGGGAATGATGGGGTAATAATCAATCAAGTTGGATTGTCCTGCTTTTTGTGTACAAGTATGTCTTGTACAAATGTGTGAAATTTTCTACATTGCTGGGTAGATGCCAGTGTTGCAGCTGTACTGGTAGTTTGGCCAGTCGCATGGCAAGCTCTGGAGGACAAGCCTTCAGCACTATTGCCAGAAAGTTGTCAGTACTCATAGCCTTGGGGTATCAAATATGTTCAAAAATGCCTTGATATCACTTGAAGTGAACTGAATTGATTGAAGACTGGCATTTCTGGTGTTGGGAACCTCTGGAGCAGATGGAGATGGATCAGCCACCTGGGACTTCCGGCTGAAAATTATTACAAAAGCTTCAGCATTATTTTTTGCACCAATGGGTTGGACTCCCTCATCATTAAGAATGAGACTATTAGTGGAGTCTCCACCCTCAGTGAGCCGAGTGATTCTCCACCACCATTCATGACTGGATGTCGCAAAATTGCAGAGTTTAGATCTGATCTGCATTTTTGAATCATTCAGCTGAGCCTGCAGCAGCTGTATCTGCTAGTTAGCATGCATATAGCTGCTTTATTATAGCTTTGTTATTTTTTCCTATTTCTCTACTTTTGCAGTTGTCGTTTATTCTGAGAGATTATTACCAGTATTTGCAATATTGATCAGTAACATCTATATGCATGATGAAAAGTCAATTGAGAAACTTTTATTACATGGATCTTACCGTCAATGGCCACCAACACTGCTGTTTGACCTTTCATTTCGTGACTGGTCATGGCCTCATCAACCTCACGGCCAACATGTAAACCATTGCGTGTCATCCACTCTCGGTTTCCAATTAACACCGAATAGGCCTGAGAAGCGACTGCACCTAAAAATAGTTTAAAAAATGCTGTTAATTAATGTACAAGTCTTTAAACAATTTAGGTGAGGCAAGAATTATTACTCTTGATATCAAGATCGCATTTGACCGAGTGTGACATCAAGGAGCTTTAGCAAAATCTGAGTCAATGGGAATTGGAGAAAAAACCGTCCACCGGCTGGAGCCATACCTGGCATAAAGGCAGATAACTGTGGTTGTTGGTGGTCGGTCATCTCACCTCTAGGAAATCTCTGCAGGAGTTCTTGAGGGTAGTGTCCTAGGCCCAACCACCTTCACCTTTACATCGATGACTTTCTCATCATAAAGTCAGATGTGGAGATATTAGTTCCTGACTGCACAATGTTCATCACCATCCATGAACCTCAGGTGCTAAAGCAGCTCATACTGAAATGCAGCAAGACCTGGATAAAATCCAGGTTGGACTGACAAGTGCAAGTAATATTTGCTCCAAACAATTGCCAAGCAATCTCCAATCATGGTGTGGCTGTACAAGACTTTGGTTAGGTCACTTTTGGAATGCTGCATGCAATTCTAGTCTCCCTGCTTCGGGAAATATGTTGTTAAACTTGAAAGGGATCAGAAAAGACTTTGAAAGGACGTTGCCAGGTTTGGAGGGTTTGAGCTATAGAAGAGGCTGAGTAGGCTGGGGCTATTTTCTCTAAAGCATCGGATGCTGAGGGGTGACCTTGTAGAAGTTTATAAAATCATGAGGGACATGGTTAGGGTGAATTGTCAGCATCTTTTCTCCAGGGTAGGGGAGTCTAAAACTAGAGGTCATAGGTTTAAGGTGAGAGGTGAAAGATTTAAAAGGGACCTAAGGGGCAACTGTTTCATGCAGAGGGTGGTGTGTGTATGGAATGAGCTATCAGGGGAAGTGGTGCAGGCTGGTACAATTACAACATTTAATGGATATCTGGATGGGTATAAGAGTAGGAAAGGTTGAGGGGGAAATGGGCCAAATGCTGACAAATGGGGCTAGATTAATTTAGGATATCTGGTCAACATGGACAAGTTGGACCAAAGAGTCTGCTTCCATGCTGTGCAAGTCTAGGTCTCTATGTAAAAGATGGAATCTAACCATTGCCCCTTGACATTGATTGGCATTTAACCATCACTAAATTCCCCCACTGTCAACCATTGGTCCTGGAGCCACAGACCAGAAATTGATCTGGAATAGCTGTGTATAAAAGGAGTAGATGAGAGACTGGAATCGTGCAGCATGTAACTTACCCACCTGACCGGATGATTGCAGCTCCAACACCACTCAGGAATCTGGTCACTATCCAGGACAAAGCTACCTGCTTAACTGGCACGATATCATAAGACCATAAGATATAGGAGCAGAATTAGGCCATTCAACTCATCAAGATTGCTCCGCCATTTTATCATAGCTGGTATGTTTCTCAACCCCATTCTCCTACCTTCACACTGTAACCCTTGATCCCCTTACGAATCAAGAACCTATCTATCTCGGTCTTAAAGATACTCAATGACTTGGTCTCCACAGCTTTCCGTGGCAATGAGTTCCACAGATTCACCACTTCCTGGCTGAAGAAATTCCTCCTCATCTCTGTTCCAAAGGGTTGCCTCTTCACTCAGATGGTTTCCTCAGGTCCCAGTCTCTCCTACTCATGGAAATATCCTCTCCATATTTACTCTATTCACACCCTCCGTATTCTGTAAGTTTCAATAAGATCCCTCTTCATTCTTCTAAACTCCATGGAGTACAGACCCAGAGTGCTCAAGTGCACCTCAAACGACAACCCCTTCATTCCCAGGATTATTCCTGTGAGCCTCTTCTGGACCTTTCTAAGGCCAGCACTTCCTTCCTTAGATACGGGGCCCAAAACTGCCCACAATATTCCAAATTAGGTCTGACCAAAACCTTATACAGCCTCAACAGTACATGCCTGCCCTTGTATTCTAGCCCCCTTGAAATGAATGCTAACACAGCATTGACTTTCCTGACTTCCAACTTAACCTGCAAATAATCTTAAGAGAATCCTGAATTAGAACTCCTATGTCCTTTTGTGCTTCAGATATCCAAAACCTTTCCGCATTTGGAAAAACTTCAATCCCCACACCAGTGATGCTCAGTAGCAACTATTACCATTTAATGCTAAAATTCACCAAGAACCCTTAAATAGTTCCTTCCAAACTCAACCATTACTATCAACAGGAACAGGCTTGAAGTGTTGAATGGCCTACTCCTGTGCCTATGTTATGGAGAATGGAAGAAGACAGATGGAAATACCATCACCTGCATTATCACTTCCAAGCCACTCACCATTCTGATTTAGAAATACATTACCGTTCCTCTAGTGTTGCTCTGTTAAAATCCTGGAACTCCCTCCCTAATGTCACTGTGGGTCTGCCTATAGCAAAATGGACTGCAGCATTTCAAGAAAGCTGGTCACGATCTTCGAGGGAACGAGGGCAGTGCAATAAATGCTATCCCAACTAGATACGCCCATATCCCATGAATGAACAAAAAAAAAACTATAATTGTTCCAAAATCAACTATTTCAAGTGTGACTAGGTGATATTAATATTACAAAGGCTGATAAAGTCATCAATACAGAGAAGACTTGTAATGTTGCATTTTTATTTCTCTCTGCAAGTATCTTGTAGACAATTTGAGAGAAATGTCAGCAAATCTGTGCATTTTAATACCTGTGAGTTACTTCATGTGATACACCATTTGATGGCTTGCTGTTCAATAAAGAATGACAAGAATATTGTTATTTTTCTGAATATTTTCATTGATAAAGATTATCAAAATTCAACATATTTGGAAAAAATTCTCACTACGATGGAATAAAGTCATTAGTCACATAATCAACCGTTTGCAAATTGATTCATTCAAATAAACAATAAAATTCTGAACAAAAATAAAGTTGCTGGAAAAGCTCAGCAGGTCTGGCAGCATCTGTGGAGGAGCAAACAGAGTTAATGTTTTGGGTCCGGTGACTCTTCTTCAGAACTGATGGTGGCTGGGAAAACGTCAGTTTATATGTAGAAAATAGGGAGGTGGGGGGTGTAGGGAGTAAACGATAGGATAGAGCCCAAAGAGAGAGAAAGACTGTGTGGACAGACAAAGGAGTTGCTAACGATCAGGCTGGAAGGGTGAGTAGTTGTTAATGGGGACTGTTAGTGACTAACAACAGGGGGTACGTAGTGGCAGGCTGTGTGGTAACAAGGCCTGGTGTGTGGGGTGGGCAGCTGCGACATGGGAGAGTTTAGGCCCTAAAATTATTGAACTCAATATTGAGTCTGGAGGGCTGTAGGGTCCCCACACGGAAAATGAGGTGTTGTTCCTCCAGCTTGCGCTGTGGCGCAATGTAGTTCAATAATTTTAGGGCCTAAACTCTCCCATGTCCCAGCCCCCCACCCCATACTCCAGGCATTGTTACAACATAGCCTGCCACTACACACCCCCTGTTGTTCGTCACTAACAGTCCCCATTAACAACTACTCACCCTCCCAGCCTGATTGTTAGCAACTCCTTTGTCTGTCCAACTGTCTTTCTCTCTCTTTGGGCTCTATCCTATCGTTTACTCCCTACCCCACCCACCTCCCTATTTTCTGCATATAAACTGATGTTTTCCCAGCCATCATCAGTTCAGAGGAAGGGTCACCGGACCCGAAACATTAACTCTGTTTTCTCCTCCACAGATGCTGCCAGACCTGCTGAGCTTTTCCAGCAACTTTGTTTTTGTTCCTGATTTACAGCATCCGCAGTTCTTTTAGTTTTTAATAAAATTCTGAAAGAAGCTGTGATTACCTTCTGAAGTGGTTTGTGATCGCACTGTATTAACATCATGCGAATCACTAATCTTCAATAAGTGTGTGCTATCTTCACATTTATTCAGACTGCGTTCACTTTTCAGCACAATTGCTTCAATATTAGTAACTTTGCAGCTGATGCCACAACCTGGCACAGACTGAAAATCAGTACAGTAGCCCAGAACATCTATGCCAAGTTCCTGGAACAAACAGAAAAACTTTAGATATTTCTCAACATTATATCAAACACTTAAACTTTCTTCAACTACTATAAATAACATTTATAATACACATTTTAGTTGGAAAAATCCCAAAGATTTTCATTAGAAGAAACAGAATAGCAGATGAGTTAGGTAACTGAAGATATGTATACTTGAAGAGACAGGTTTTATACCAGTAAACTGTGATAAATGAAATGAAACTCTGCCCTAAATATGAGGAACAGTAACAGCATGAAAGAAAAGCGAGAAACAGAGGAATGAAGAGCAGTACAAGTAGACTGATCTATACAAATGTATATAAAATTCTGCGGTTAATATGGGTCGTTGAATGTAACAAAGAAATTATGCACTTCCTGGACAAGATAATCAGCCAAAGCTAAGGTATTCCATGCAATTCCTTGTAGGAAGATATTCGTACCATTTAAGGGGACAGCAAAAATTCATTAGAAATATACCAGGAATGAATATTAATGTTATTTTAAACAAACATAAAAAATAAAATTCCTTACTCTTCACGTTGAAGATAAGGAATGGGGTACTAGAGAGACTGCTCAATAGTGGTCATCATTTGTCAAGAGGAAAGGTTGGGATTACTTTAGTTTATTTTAAAGAAAACACAGTGCTATAAGTATATTACATTACACAACACTCAGATCAGTAACATTTATTTTCACAACACAGTTCTTACGAAACCACATAAATACTTTAAAAACGGTCAATGATGGACTTGGTACAAATTATTATTAATTGGCAAAGTTTTAAGGATTTAAAAAAAATAAGAATTTTGGTGTAAGTGGTACAGCACTGCATTGCCAAGGAAGTACTGTCAACAATACAATTGAACATTTTGGCTCAAATTCTGCAGTGAATACAAAATATTTTCTATCATTGATGGCTGTCCAGAAAGTTTGAGCGCGCTTTCGGGGAAAGTGTTGCTCTAATGTAGTATTTAAGTCAATGCAGCAACTTCTGTAAGGCACAAGGCCCTTGACAGTAGAACAAGAAATAATATAATACTTTAACCACTTTGAATGAAGAATCCTCCCCGGCATGTGCAGACTCCAAGCCAAGTACAAATTAATTAGAAGTCATGCATAAAATGTGAGATAAAAGATTGGACAAGGTCAAAAGGAGTTAAGAGAGAGAGGAAATGAAACAGACAGACAGCAAAAGTAGGGGCAATACAGTGGCTCAGTGGGTAGCACTGCTGCCTCACAGTGCCAGGAATCTGGGTTCAATTCCCCCCTTGGGTGACTGTTCCGTGTGGAGTTTTGCACATTCTCCCCGAGTCTGCATGGGTTTCCTCCCACAGTCCAAAAATGTGCAGGCTAGGTGAACTGGCCACGCTAAATTGCCCATAGCATTGAGGGATGTGTTGATTAGGCGGGTTATAGGGGGATGGGTCTGGGTGGGATGTCTGAGGGTCAGCTTGGGCTTGTTGGGCCACAGGGCCTGTTTCCACATTGTAGGGATTCTATGATTTATGATCTAAAACACTAGATATTTTAAATCTCCCTGCTAAATAATTTCTGAAGCAATGAGATACTGGTCTTACAAGACTTTCAGCAGCAGAGAGGTTGTTTGATAGTTAGTTATAATCTTTTACCACATCCTTAAAAACTCACTCTTGAATGTACCAGTCATAATTTTTTTACACATTTAGAGGCTGGAAGGTGCTGCCTGATTTACTCTAAGTCAGGTGAAGAAGCAGCAATCCAAAAGCTTGCAATTTCAAACAAACCTGTTGGGCTATAACCTGGTGTCACGTAAATCCTGACTTTGCCCACCCAAGTCCAACACCGGTACCTGCACATCATAATTTGCTCCATAATAATATTCACATCAGCTTTATCATTACTGTTAATGAAAAATCCAGGACTATGGCATACTATTACATAATATAAAAGATTTGAGTAAAGACTAGACACAAACTGACAGAAGTAATACTGAAAAAATATCTATGACTTACTTCTTTACAATATTTGGCCACAGCATTTCCAAGAGGATGCTCACTGCTAGCTTCTGCAGTGCCAACAATTGCAAGCAATTTCTTCAATGGCAGCACAGTCACATCTACCAAGATTAGAACTCTCATTACCTTCGGAACACCATGTGTAATCGTTCCAGTCTTGTCAAACATAACAACTTTTACCTACAGACACAAAAGCTTTTATCACTGCAATGAAATAATCAAAGTGATCAAATACAGGTTGCCATCCTTTCTGTAAAAACAAACAAACAAACAAACAGACAGACAGTCAGTCGTCAACGTGTAGGTAAGTTTAACTTTAGCAGATTAGATACCGAAATATGTATTTCACTTTGCTAACACAAATAGTCCAATTAAATCAAGCATAAATGCTGAATCAATTGCTCTTATGGTTACTGAAAACACCAAAATGTGAGTCATAGAATCCCTATAGCGTGGAAACAGGCCATTTGGCCCAACAAATCCACAACGCTCCTCCGAAGAGCATCCCACCCAAACCCATTCCCCCACCCTTTCTCTGTAATCCTGCATTTCCTATGTCTAATCCACCTAATTTACACACCCCTGGACATTACAGGCAATTTAGCACGGCCAATCCACCTAACCTGCACGTTTTGAACTGAGAGGAAACCGGAACATTCAGAGCAGACCCACACAAACATGGGAAGCATGTTCAAACTCCACACAGACATGGGGAGCATGTTCAAACTCCACACAGTCGCCCGAGGGTGGAGTTGAACCCAGGTCCCTGGCACTGTGAGGCAGCAGTGCTAACCACTGAGCCACCTTGCCACCCTAAACTCAGAAATGCTAAAAAAAAACACATTTATACATATTTTTATTTTGGGCTAAAATATTGTATAAAATAAACTTCTGGTTAATTACTAAAATAACACTGTTGGGTTTGTATGCTATGAAGGTTAAGGGGTTGGTGTTAAGGAAAACCTCAGTGCTACCAAAAAGAAAAATCACAGTTTTATTGATCACATTCCAGTGTAATTTGCTGCAAAGCAAACATGCAGGAGAAGGGAAAGCAAAGTTGTCTTGGTTTTATTGCCTCCAATATCTGAAAAATTTGCCTAAATCGATACATTATGAATAGATCATTGGAAAAGGGCTACCCTATCCATTTACTTGTAGGAAAATAAAATTGCCTTTACTTTGCTAGAGAAAGAAAATTTAACAAAAAATATGTAGAATCATACAGTGTTAAGAGAAGAGGTTGTGTGGACTCTGAAACAGCTGTCCAATTAATCTCACTCTGTTTTTCATTCTCTACTGCCCAGCACATCTCCCCCCTTCAATACAATTAATCTTTGGATTGGCTGTTTGGCAATATTCTAATCTAGTGTAACCAATCTGATCTGATCCTGTTGATAAAAATGTTACTTGTTATGGTACAGCTTTCCTTATTAAACCTCTTCATCGCCACTAACCTTGTGTGCCAACTCAAGTGGTTCACCTCCCTTGATCAGAATGCCATTTTGAGCACCAACACCTGTACCCACCATCACAGCTGTAGGGGTAGCCAATCCCAAGGAACAGGGGCATGCAATAGACAACACTGTAATGGAAGTCTGAAATGCAAATCTGACAATCACCTCAGCTTTAGGAATATGCTTGCTGTAACCCTAAAAAGAAACAAAAAAAGTTAACATGAAATACTAGCCAATTCTGGACACCTCACAGTAACATGCATAATTGTCCTAGGAAGTAATCCTGCATGGAGAACATTTCAACAAAATGCCACTATGCAATGGTAATATTAAATATGAAATATTATGGTACTGTGACTGAAATTTTTCAAAAGACCACAAGTAGAGAAGGGAGAACCAGTGGGTATGGTGTATTTGGATTTACTGAAGGTCCCATGTATAAGGTTTGTAGGCAAAGTTAAAGCACATGGGATAGAGGTTAGTATGTTAGAATGGATCGAGAATTGGTTGACAGCCAGTAAACAGGAAGTGGGAATAAATGAGTCGTTTTCCAAGTGGCAGGGAGTGAATAGTAGGGTACCACGCAAAGCCAACACAAAACTGTGCAGGAATGAGCGCTGTGGAGGTGGCAAGGAAGTTTCAAGATGATTCAGACAAACTGAGTGGCCAAACATATGACTGATCAGTACAACGTGGCTAAATGTGAAGTTGTACAATTTGATGTGAAACACAGAAAGGAAGAGTATTATTAATTGATGATATACTGGGAAATGTGGATGTACAAAGGGATCTGATGTCCTTGTACACCAGTCAATGAAAGTGGACAGTCAGGTGCAGCAAGCAATTAGGAAGGCAAACGGTACATTGACCTTCATTGCAAGGGGATTTCATAAGTAGGGGTGTCTACTGCACTTATACAGGGCATTGGTGAGACTACAACCGGAGTACTGTGTGTAGTTTTGGTCTGCCTACCAAAAAAAAGGATATGCTTACTGCTAAGAGAGTAGAGCAAACATTCATTAGGCTGATATCAGGGAAAGCAGAACTCTCCTATGAGGAGAGATTGGTTCCATTGGACCTGTATTCACTAGAGTAAAGAAGAATGAGACAGGATCTAATTGGGTGGCACGGTGGCTCAGTGGTTAGCACTGCTGCCTCACAGTGCCAGGGACCTGGGTTCAATTCCAGCCTCAGCCAACTGTGTGCCATTTGCATATTCTCCCCATGTCTGTGGGGGTTTCCTCCCACAATCCAGGGATGTGTAGGTTAAGTGGGTTAGCCGGGGGAAAAGGGGGAAGGGTGGGATGCTCTTCACAGTGTCAAAGAACAAAGAAAATTACAGCACAGGAACAGGCCCTTCAGCCCTCCAAGCCTGCGCCAATCCAGATCCTCTATCTAAACCTATCCCCTATTTTCCAAGGATCTGTATCCCTCTGCTCCCTACCCATTCACATACCTGTCGAGATACATCTTAAATGACGCTATCGTGCCTGCCTCTACTACCTCCGCTGGCAACACGTTCCAGGCACCCACCACCCTCTGCGTAAAGAACTTTCCATGCATATCTCCCTTAAACTTTTCCCCTCTCACCATGAAATCATGACCCCTAGTAACTGGGTCCCCCACTCTGGGAAAAAGCTTCTTGCTATCCACCCTGTCTATACCTCTCATGACTTTGTAGACGTCAATCAGGTCCATCCTCAACTTCCATCTTTCTAATGTAAATAATCCTAATCTACTCAACCTCTCTTCATAGCTAGCGCCCTCCATACCAGGCAACATCCTGGTGAACCTCCTCTACACCCTCTCCAAAGCATCCACATCCTTTTGGTACAGTGGCGACCAGAACTGTACGCAGTATTCCAAATGTGGTCGAACCAAAGTCCTATACAACTGTAACATGACCTGCCAACTCTTGTAATCAATACCCCGTCCGATGAATGAAAGCATACCGTATGCCTTCTTGACCACTCTATCAACCTGCGTTGCCACTTTCAGGGTACAATGGACCTGAACACCCAGGTCTCTCTGTGCATCAATTTTCTCCAGGGCAGTGTGCACTTATTGGGTCAAATGGCCTACGAAATGTTAAAATTTTTAACAGGGCTGGGCAGACTAGATGCAGGATATAGAAAGGATATTGTCCCTGGTTGGGGAGTCTCGAGCCAGGGGGACCAGTCTCAGGATACATGGTGGACCATTTAGGACTGAAATGAGGAAACATTTCTTCAAAGGGTGGTGAACCTGTGAAATTCTAGACCACAGATGGCTGTGGAGGCCAAGTCACTGAAAATATTCAAGGAAGAGACAGATAAATTGGGGTTTTAAAAATATCAAGGAGTATGGGAATATGGCACCGAGGTAGAGGATTAGCCATTACGCAAGTCAATGGCTAACAGCAGGCGCCAAAGGCCAATTGGCCTACTCTTGCTCTTTATTTCAATGTAGTTGCTAGCTGTCATACAGAAGGAAGCTTAATTGGCATTTTGTAGATGACAAACACCAAGAGATCATATCAGTCTTTGCACAGTAGTCAATCAGTTTAAGAAAATGATCCTTAAAGCTGATTTCCTGCTCATTAAACACAAGGACCATTGGACTTGACAGGGTACTATGGATTCCTGCCCATTGGCTAAATGACAGCACGGTGCATGCCCAGGTGACGAGCTGCTGCTCTGCTCTCACTTAATGGCTAATTTGCTGAAAATAGGCTGGAGGCGGTATATCCACCCTTCACAGCCAGGATGGCCAACAGCTCTGTAGTTCCAACAGCACCAGGTAGTTACTGCCACTGCTGAGACCACAGGTAGTCCCAAATTGAGATTGTTATTGGAACCACACACAAACGTTAGTCAGGGAGATTTCACCAGGGTCAAGGTGATAAGCGTCTAGAAGGAGATTAAGAGAATGTGGGGTTCAGGTTTGAGAGGCTGTTGGGTGGTGGGATGGACATGGATGGGTGGACGGGCGGACAGTTTTATCTTGAGGAGCCTCAGATGGATGAGACCTGACACCAGCCTCGCCTATGTGTAAAACAGTGATGCCAGCTGGATGAAGCCCTTAAGTGGCCATTCTTTGGAAACTTAAAGGGCCTTATAATGTCCAAAAAGGTTGGCCTGCTGCCAAATGCCTCCAAAGATTCCCACAAAAATTCTGCAAGTTGGGTGAGTGGTTAGGTTGTGGTGAGAAGGATTAGTGTTGTTTGTTTACAAGTCTTTCACTTTCAAACCTACTGGTGGAGAGGGATGAAATCCAGCCCTATGGTTTTGAAAGTGAGTCCGACCCGAAAAATTGGCAACAGGAGAAACAGAAAATAGGAACAGGAATAAGCCATTCGGCCCTTCAAGTTTACTCTACCGTTCAACATGATCAAAGCTAATCATCCAACTCAGTTCCCTGTTCCTGCTTTACCCCACACCCTTTGATTTCTTTATTCCTAAGAACTATATCTAACTCCTTGAAACATTCAATGTTTTGGTCTGAACTACTTTCTGTAGCTGAGAATTCCACAGGCTCACCACTGAGTGAAGAAATTTCTCCTCATCTGAGCCCTGAATGGCTGATTCCATATCCCTAGACTGTGACCCTAGTTCTAAACTCCCCAGGCATCAGACGCATCTTTTCTGAGTTTACCCTGTCTACCCCTGCTGGAATTTTATAGGTTTCTATAAGATCCCTATAGAATCAGCCCTAACCAATCCAATCTCTTTTCACATATATTCCTGCCATTCCGGGAATCAGTCTGGTAAATCTTTATTACACTCCCTCGAAAGCCAGAACATCCTTCCCTAGATAAGGAGGCCAGAACTGCACACAATACTCCAAGTGTGGTCTCACCAATGCCTTGTACACTTGCTGCAACACATCCCTGCTTCTGTACTTGAATTCCCTCCTTATGAAGGCCAACATACCATTTGCCCTCTTCACCGCATGCTGCTCTAGGGAAAAAAAAACAAACTTGCATTTATATTGCAATTGTAACAACCTCAGGATGTTCCAAGAGTCAACAGATAATGAAGTACTTTAGAAGGTGCAGACAGACATTGTCGTAATGTAGAAACGCAGTAGCCAATTCAAACAAAGCAAGATCCCACAAGTGACAATGAGAGAAAAAACAATCTGTTCCCTTAAGATTGCAGGGCAAAAAATGATCTGTACACTGGGGAGAATTGTTCTTTGAATAATATCATGATATCTTTTACATCTACCTGAGAAGGCAGACAAGGAGCTCGATTTAATGTCTCCTCTGCAAGACGGCAGCTTTAAACAGAGGACCTGCATTTCCCAAACCACCTAACCTGCACATCTTTGGACTGATAGAGGAAACCGGAGGACCTGGAGGAAACCCATGCAGACACAGGAAGAATGTGCAAACTCCACACAGACAGTCGCCTGAGGCTGGAATCAAACCCAAATCCCTGGCACTGTGAGGCAGCAGTGCTAACCACTGAGCAACCCTGCCACCCTGCTAGCTAGTTATCATGCTGAGGTACAGTCATTTATGTTTTGATCAGTTCTACCCACGTGACTTACTTTAGTTTGGCCAAATCTGTCTTCTGGAGGCTCAGCAACTGGTCATTTACTCAATAAGCAAAACCTTAACGTTTTCTTTGATCATGATGCATAGCTAGTTTTCTGTTCTCTAACCCTCAAACAACTAATGAGTTGATAATCTCATCTCATGCCAACCTCTGGGTTTCCAAGCAACCAGCCCACCTGGCACATTAGTAACAAATTTAACAATAATTTTAATCTTATCAATGTAACATTTAGTCTGATTTGGAGTACCATCTTGCTGGTTTTCATCTATTCAACTCCTTTAACAAAAGCACAGTTATAACACATTAATTATGTTACAGGTTTGGAATCAAGAGATCCAAACCATAGGAATTAGAGATCTAAATAATCTTTGATTACTATTAACAAACTTCATGCTAGTCCCTAAAAGATAACAGATCAATTGAATTCTGCGTAACGGATTTAACACGTTTCACCACCTTCGTCAGGGACTGATTTTTGTCTCAGTTATTTGTTAGTTATGTACATCACATCCCTTTTCACCAATTATCATTCCACTAATGAGGGCAATGAGAAACGAGGATATCCTTTATATCTTGAAAAAAGTGATTTTGCTTAAGTGCTTAATTTACTTTTTAATCATACCGTATTAATCTTACAGGGGGTGGCACAGTGGCTTAGTGGTTAGCACTGCTGCCTCACAGCACCTTCAACCTGGGTTCGATTCCACCCTCAGGCGACTGTGTGTGGAGTTTGCACATTCTCACTGCATCTGCGTGGGTTTCCTCAGGGTGCTCCAGTTTCCCCCCCACTGTCCAAAGATGTGCAGATTAGGTAAATTGGCCATGCTAAATTGCCCATAGTATTCAGGGATAATAAGATTCGGTGGGTTACAGGGGGATAGGTCTGGGTGGGATGCTCTGGAGGTTTGGTGTGGACTTGTTGGGCCGAAGGGCCTGCTTCCACACTGCAGGGGATTCTATGATACCCCGTGGTATTTGAATAAAAGTAAGAAAGGTAAAGTCACCACAGTGCCAGAGGGCCACAGGATCATAAGAAAGAGATGAGTGACTGTGGTTTAACCCGACAGTCATCATTTTCGGTGAAAGGCAAGGTTGAGAGGGTGGGACCTTCATGGTAACCTCAGCTGGTACGGAAATTGAACCTGCATTATTGGTGTCCAGCCAACTGAGTTAACCAACCTGCAGAATCCGAATAGCTTAATTAGATCAGATTTTATTTTAGTATTGTAAGGTTTGAACTAATAATTTATAAAATCAGTGAGCTGAGAAGCCAGTAGCTTCCTTGGATCTGCTAGCAGCCTTGACTAATGCACACTGTGTGAATAGAAATGGACACTCCCATGGTCTAGATTTTCCCTGCCCCCAAAGTGGGCTACGGTGAGTCAGTTAGAAAGACGTGATGAGATCAGAAAAATGACATTCTTCACGTGGGGGGCAGGGGGCACAGATTTTGAAACTAATGTTTAGCGCAGGGGCTTGGATGGTAGGATATGAATCTCGCTGGTGCACTGAAAAGCTTATTTGTACGCATTAACATCTCAGTGGTACCTAATCCCACTTCAATTATGTACAGTTTCCTATTCTTCCATGTACTGCAAAGAAGCTAGATGACGACAATTCCTGACATTAAAGTCAAATTAGGTGTCTAATGACTCTAGCTTGCCTCTTGATCTTCTGGACCTCCATCTTGGACAGCAGTCTCCAATATCGCAGGAAACTCTCCTTGGCCAGTAAGTGTCTGCACACCCTGTCCACAGGTGTTGACAGTGGACAAGCATCAGACTCGCCATACCCTCATGGTACATCTCTGACCAACTTATAATACAATTCTTCACTTCAATACTGCACTTTAGAGCACACCAATACTTTTCATTGTAATGCTGCTGCCAGGTCATTTGTGCGCAGGGACAAGCACCAATGTCACGGATTGCAGCAGGGCCCATCTCAGGAATCTCCGCTAACTGTCTTACTGCATACTCACTTTGTACCTAGAGTCATGGAGTCATATAGCACAGAAACCGACCCTTCGGTCCAACTCATCAGCATTGACCAGACATCCTAATCTGACCTATTTCCTCTTACCAGTATTGGCTCATATCCCTCTAAACCGTTCCTATTAATGTAGCCATCCAGATGCCTTTTAAATGTTGTAATTGTACTCGCCTCCACCACTTCCTCTGGCAGCTTATTCCATACAAGCACCATCCTCTGCATGAAAAAGTGTTTTTTAAAATCTTTCTGCTCTCACCTTAAACCTACATCGTCTAGTTTTCGACTGCCCCACCCTAAGAAAAAGACCTTGGCTATTCACATTATCCAATTCATTCACTCAGCCATCTACCCGAATTAGTTGGGTAATGATACACATAATTCAGGTAGTTCTAAAAATTGTTTATTTTACACTGTTTCTTGGCCACACATCTATCTGCAGCTAATTTCTTTATTAGTTTCAATTCTCACGTTTGATTTAAAAAGCACCATTAAAACAGGCATTTCTGAGGAAGAGTCTAGGCCCGAAACGTCAGCCTTTCTGCTCCTATAATGCTGCTTGGCCTGCTGTGTTCATCCAACTCTGCACCTTGTTGTCTTGTATTAAAACAGGCATTGTGTGCAACACATGCAAGGTTACATCTACTTTCCCAAACACAAAAGAAATTCCTCAATGGGCCTCAGGCCTATTCATCCAGACTGCAAATATTACAGGCATTTTGATGCTACTTACTGACAAATACTTTTCAATGGCTTCAAAGTTTGCCAAACCAATACTGATCCAGACAATCAGTGTAACCACAGAAATACCAACGATAAACGGAACAAAATATCCACTCAGTTTGTCTGCAAACTGTTGAATTGGAGCCTGGAAAAGTCAAAATATATTTTATTTAGATTCATTAAGTGATTTGGAAATTAAAAATTAAATGATCACTCTGAAAACATTAACCCAGATTTCTACCTTTGTTTATACCTTTTTCTTCACCCTTTGCCATTTATAATGCACAAAGATGAGGTTTCAAATTATTGATGCAATACTGGACTAAATGTTTTCACTCCAGCCATGGTCCAATTTGTCAAAACTGTACGTCGTTATGTTAAACAACTTCACAGTTAAAAGAAAATAGCTTTCTTTCTGCTATAGTCAAACAGTACATTGTCTTTTGTGACCCACACAGGTCAGAAGGGAACTTTAAATTTTTTTTGCATTGTTCTAAATTCGTAGAAATGTCTTGTGTTAGTGTCATAAGAGTTAAAATATAAATGATGGTTTACTATTTAAAACACAGTGAATCTCAGACAGAAAGGTGTGGGTTTGGGATAGGTGGATGGTTAACGCTTTAAAGATCAGAATCTCAATCCTAACTATGTCCAATCCACCACTTTGGCTTTGGAGGGGGGGAAGGTGGTCAGATGACTAACCTGCTCCAAAAGGCTGATTCACACTTTAAATTCTTGCCAAATTTTCTGAGCTTCAGGATACCCAACAACTATAATGGCCACATTTATACTTTATGCCAATGCCTTTATACTGCTTGGATCCAGCGATGCTGGCCAAGGCAACAGCCTTTTCCTGTTAATACAAACTCCATTCTAACTACTGTTTTCCTAACCCCAACTCCCAAATTCATCCCACTCACCTCTGGTTGCCTTTCTCTTTGCATCTGATATGCTACAAGTCACAAAGCAAACTTTCAAACTCCCATCCTTCAGGACTCAGTGACAAAAGTGAGGGACAATGGTGGATAATCTTCCTTCTCAGCTGTACATTTGCACAGCCATGTGAATCGAGAACTGTAAAACTACGAAAGTACTGTACAGGTCGCTTGCAAGCTCTAGGTTGGGCACAACGAATAAAATTTGGAGGGATCAATACTGCACGATGTATATTTTTCCTACTGGGAAATGGATTGCTGTGGTGTTCCATGAGGGTTATTTGGGGTCTATTACTCTTTGCATTTCTTCTCAATCACCTAGACATGGATGAATACAGTAATGTTATAAAGTTTGCAGATGACGTAAAATAACAGATCATGAGGAAGATAGTTTTAGGCTTCAGGATGACCTGGTAATGCTGGTGAAAAGTGTGAAGTGATGCAGTTTGGGAAGATCAATATGGAATCACATGTATAATTTTGAAAACTGCACACGAGCATGATATTCTTATACATAAAGTTTTAAAGTTGGCAGGACAAACTGAAAAGACGCTTATGAAAACATATGAGCTACTTTAGTTTGTAAAAGCAATGAGATCATTCTAGACCTTTACTGTTCACTAGTAAGGCCTCAGTGGACAACTTTGGGTACTACATTTCATAAAAGGTGTAAAGGCATTAGAAAGGGCACTGAGGAGATTTGCAAGGCAGTTATGAAAGCCAGCTCTAGAATGCATGCATCCATTTCGTATAGGTGAAAAATATATCTCCAATGAGTCCATTCAGTTCAGTCATTCTTTACTCCATTTGTGAAAATGATTTTGCAAAGTGGTCAGAAAGGTACTTGTGAAACGTGCCTTATTATAAGATTACTTTATAATTCTACAATGCTATAATAAATTGATAGCAATCCTAGAGCTAGTTTTGACGTATGCAAAATTAAAACTTAATTGTACTATGCAAGAAATACATGTCTACCTTTGACATCTGTGCTTCTTCTACCAACTTAACAATTTGTGACAATGTTGTTTCTGAACCAACATGGGTAGCTTGAATGAGTAGAGAACCTTGTGCATTAATGGAACCAGCAATCACTGCATTTCCTACTCTTTTTACAACTGGCATAGGCTCTCCTGTAAAAACAAAAAGAAGAAAGTTAATTGTGTACTGTGAGAATCTGTGGTCTTAATTCCATTGTCCATCATCTTATTTTACACCGGTTTCAGGGCAATATCAAATCAAGATGACAATACTGAATAAGTTAAGCAGTCATCAGTCCTTTCAAATGGCCTACATTATGTCCTGAGACCATGAGACCTTGACCTAGGCCGCCTAGGAAGGGGAAACATCACCCCTGCATCCAGTTTGTCTAGCCCGCTCAGAATTTTATTCATTTCAATGAGATCCTCTATCATTCTTCTAAACTTCAGCAAATGCAGATCTAGTTAACCCAATCGCTCCTCATCAAAAATCTGCCATAGTCCAAAAATCAGTGTAGTGAACCTCTGCTCTCTATGGCAAGTAGGGATATCACGACTGCACAAAATACTTCAGGCGTGGTCTCACCAGTCTAGTACAGCTGCAATAAGACATCTTTGCTCCCATACTCAAATCCTCTTGCAATGAATCACATCATAAACAGACCAACATATCATTCACTTTCTAACTGCTTACTACACCTGCATGCTTTCTTCTAATGACTCAGGTCCCCTTGCACATCAACATTTCCCAATCTATTGTCATTGTGTTATAAAGCAGAAGTTGACCCCCCTCTGCTAACTAAAACCAAAACACCCAGAGAGATCACCTCGTCTTATGAGCTGTTAAAAAGGAGTGAGAAAAGTGGTATAACCTGCTCCTCAGTAACTTCTAGTGGTTAAATAAAACAAGTCTCTGACACCCACTCTACAAATCAACAAATAACAATTTATTTATCTAACTCTAACAGTGAACAAATTAGCTAAACTATTAACAAACCAAATAAACCCCTTCTAACTACTAACTGTTCCTGAATAAACAAGATTCTAATGGTATGCTGCTCCAATAAATACAAGCTCTACTTATATAAAATAAACTAAAAACACAGACTTTAGTCTCTCAAAATTACAGCCAGCTAATATGTCTTCTGGAATACTCTGTGCCTGCTCTGTCGAATGCTTTGTTAGGAACGCCTTCTCTGTCAAATGTTCTGTCAGGAATATTAACTAACTATGCCGTAGGTATGTTTGATTTAGATGGTGCTTTGTCTAAAACTTAGAGAAGACAGAGAGCTAGCGATTCTCTCTTGAGAGCTGAGAGCTGTTAACTCTGGCAGATGGCAGTTAATTCGCTTGATTTTCTAACTGCCGTCTCCTTTTATACCTTTGATGGCACCTCACTCCTTGTTACAGGATTGGTCCTATGTTGTCAAAACCATCAGATTTAAATTTAATTGGTGTTTGGTCTCTAAATGTCTGATTCAAATTGACTGGGCAAGACCAAAACTTGTTGTCTTGATCACAAAACAAAACTGTGCTTGGCCTGCTCATTGTACAGTCTTTTGATAACGTTTCAATTCAGGTACTCTGTGCACCTGCAAACCCACAAGCTGCTGCCCACAGACATCCTTTTAGAATCTCTAAGCATAGAAAAAGCACATCACCTTTTAAACACACACTGCTTTCTCCCCTAGCATTTTACAAACACAAATATTTTGCAAACACTAAATTCTAACGTCCTGCCATCCAATCCACAAATACCCTACCCAACTTCGCAACAACTGAAATAACATTCCACCACTGTATTCTTCCTACCAAACTCCTGGATAACTAAAAAGTGAATTGCAAAGAGAAAGCTGAGCCTGGATTGGAGTAACATTTCAAATCCTCAGTAATAATTTCCTTATTCTTACTCAGTTCATTGTTGTTAGGACAGATTGTTAAATGAAACATTAGTCATCGAAAAAGAACCCTCTATGTTTTATTGAGAAACACTCTTGCACACAACTGAACAGCTTTTCACCCCCACCACAACTCACACGTGGTACTTTTCATCTATTATCCGTCACCACTAAATCACACTTTTCTAATTAATTAATCTGCATCCAAAGCCTGACAAGGGCAATCCAATACTACCAGAGGTGAAGGAAAGTTAGGAGACAAGGGAGGAGATTAAATTAAATTGGAGTTGGAGGGGAAATAAGGCACTCCTTCACCAGCAGTGCCACTCTTCTTTAGAAGCATCACATCCTTTTTAATTAGTGCCAGCAGGCAATTTGTCAACTAGATCCTTAACAATCCTTCTAGACAGCCAAGCTTAGCATCCATTTCAACTCCTCACCCAATGTCTTGTGCTCAAGGCAGGTAAACCAGTTTGCAGGTCAAGACCCCATTCTGATTACTTTGTAGGCTTTTTGCTGCCTAAATTTTTTAGGAAAATGTTTTGTTTCTGATTTCCAACATCCACTGTTCTTTGGTCTTTTTGTTTGGAAAAATGCATAATGATTTGGCATCTCTAAAAAAGAAACACTGAAGAAGCACAATAAACCTGTGCTTCTTTAAACATAGAGAATCAAAACATACCTGTGATGAGAGATTCATCTGCCATAGAACATCCTTCTATTACTTTTCCATCCACAGGAAACTTGCCACCAGGGACCACCTTAATAATGTCACCTCTTTGGACGAGATCCACAGCTATCTGCTCCTCACTGAAGAAAGTAAAATGATAGAAAGTATTTATTTTTGAGTATTTCCAACTGTTAGACATTCAGAACATTGCTTTTTTCCTGGTATAAACTTCCCCATTCTCCACACTCATTAAAAACTTTTAGTAATATAAAGATCTTGCACAGACTGAACAGATATACAATGTAACCCATCATTAGAGAAAACTTCCGGCTGATTTCAAAGTCACAAAGTATCAGAAAGGCTTCTTCAATTCCAAAAACTGTGACATGCAAGGTTTACTGAATCATGTCAGAATATATTAGAAAACAGGTTCATAAAAAAGCTTTAAAGATCTTTTAGTGCACTTCACCTTTGGCTAAATTCTTGTTCAATGCAGCACCATGGAGCTTGACAGCACTTAACCTCATTGGGGGTGTACCTACACCACACAGAATGTGCATTCAAGAGAACGGTTCACTAACACTTCTAAATTTTCTTTCCAGCTGCACAGGCCTCCAGTGATTTTCGAAACCTGAAGTCAATGCCGCGAATGTTGTGCACAGAATCTTAAAGTGGCAATGGTAGTTGTTCATCACTATCTTCAAGGGCAATTAGGGATGGGCAAATGTAGGCTTAGACAGTGATACCCAAATCCCATGAGAAAAATCAAAACATTCAGAACACCTCATACTCGCAGCCTTAATGTTTACCATTCTGTTTTTATGATGTAGGCAATGGCAAAACATTCTACCAAAGTAACTACAAACAAGGAGATTATACACCTCCTCAAATTGGATATTGGTGCCCTAAATAGGGAAGAATAAGATAGAAGCAATACTTTTAATCTAATCCAACTCACAGGAACAGAATAGGTTCAGGTCAAACCTAGGTTTTACACCCTTCCTAATTCTGTTCTCCATTGAAGTCCATGTGGCATATGAAACAATTAGGTTGAAAGGCTTGTCTTCCCGCTGTAACTTCAATACAAGTTTGGTGTCAACACAGATAAGATTTTCCAAAATTTGTATCCAACATTAAAATAAAAGCAAAATACTGTGAATGCTGGAAATCTGATATACAAACAGAAAACGCCAGCGAAGCTCAACAAGACTGGCAGCATTCGTGGAGAGAGAAAAGAGTAATATTTCAAGTCTGATAATGATTCTTCTTCAGAACTCTCTTTCCACTGATGCTGCCAGTTCTGCTGAGTTTCTCCAACATTCTCTGTGTTTGTCTAAGGGGCCTATGTTAACTTTGGCTTCTCTCTTTTTTTTTATACATTTAAAGAAGGTCTTGCTCTCGGTCTTAATATTACTCGTAGGTTTATACTCAAAGTTTATCTTTTCCCTTTTTATGGTTGTCTTTTGTTGCGTTTTTTTAAATTCTTCCTAATGTTCTATCTTACCACTAATTTTTGCCACATTGTATGTTTTTTTTCTTTCAATTTGATGTTTTCCAAATTTCCCTGATTACCCATGGTTGGCTTATCCCCTGCCTAGACTCATTCTTCCTCACTGGGATACATCTTTGCTGTGACCCATTAACTATTTTTTATAATGTCTGCCATTGCTCCTCAGCTGCCTTTGCTACTAAACTCCTTCCCCAGTCCACTCCTGCCAGCTTTGCCCTCATTTCCTTTGTTATTACCCTTATTTAAGCTTAGTGCAGTAGTTTCTGACCCAAATTCCTCCTTTTCAAAACTGAATGTTAAATTCTACTGTGTTATGTTCACTGTTTACTCTGACATCATTTATTAAATCTGCCTCATTGCACATGACCAGATCTAATCTGGTCTGATCCCTCTTGGATCCATAACATACTGTTCAAAGAACCTGTCTCAAACACACACTATGAATTCTTTATCATAGCTACCTCTGCCAAAGTCACCCATGATTAATGTACTGCCTTTGTTATGTATCCTCATTATCTCCCAACTTACTCTCTGTCCCATTGTATTACTACAGTTTATAGGGCCTGCAGACTACTCCTACCAGTGTTTTCTCCCCCTTTATTATTTTTTTATCTCCACCCATATGGATTCTACATTTTCCAATCCAAGGTCATTTCTTACTATTGTATTTATTCCATCCATGTGAATAATGTTACCCCATCACTCTTTCCTTTTGAAATGTCATATGCCCTGAATATTTGGCTCCCAGCTTTGATGTTGTAATCATGGCTCTGTAATGGCTTTAAAATTATACTCATTAAGTATATTTGAGCCATTAATTAATTTATTTCGTTCCAAATGCAATGATCATTCAAATAAAATTATATCGGATACTATAACTATTCAGTGCAGTTGTACTAGTTTCATTTTATCAATACCTGCAATCCTGATAGATCAGATCCTACCAATACCCCATATTCTCTGAAATCAAAATTAGCTACATTACATAAACAAAGGGTATCAAATGAGGGTTATAACTGTATGACACCCTTGAATGACTTGCCTGACTAAATTCAATGCTCACCATCGGAGCACGGGCATGGGAATAATAAGATACTAGATAGTTTGAGTTGTTCATTCTAAGTGTTCAGCAAGCAGTCCCTTTAGGAAAGGGAGAAGGAAGGAAGGAGAATTAGAGGGAGATGACGGAATAGTGTCAAGTCACTAATCCAGAAGCCACTGCTAACACCTTGATGTTGCAGGTTCGAATCCTGCCAAGAGCAGGAGATGGAAATAAAATTAATTAAATTAAACATTAACACAATCTAGAACTGAATGGTGATCTCTGCTCCTACGATGAACATGAAACTATCTTGATTGTTATTTAAGAAAAACCCATATGGTTCATTACTTTCCTTTAGGGAATCTTTTGTCCTGACCTGGTCAGGTTGACATGCCACTCCAGACCCATAATAATATAGTTGAGTCTGCACTGGCTAAGGAAGCAAGAGCATTTAGGATGGGAAACATTAGCTGACCTTTTTAGTGACACCCACATCCCATGGGAAAAAAAACAAATTTACTTTTAAAAATTGGAGAAGACTTATGACGGAATAAAAACAGAATGCTTAATTTTAATTAATTTACCTAAATGTTGTTCCAAAATAATTTTCATCTTCTCAAAATTTCTCCAAAATATTCTTTTATTTATAACTCTCGTGTCCAGTCAATAATCTACAGCACAGAGAAAGGCCTTCGGCTCAACACATCTGTTCCCACGTGTTTGTTGCCCTTGTCCTTTTGGACGAAAACGGTTCTGAGTCTGAAAGGGGCATAAGGAGTTGTCAAAGGAGTTCTGATGAATATCTACAGTGCACCATGTAGATGGCACACACTGCTGCTACCTAGTCACAGTGGTGATGGGTGTGGTCTTTTTTCCTTTAGTTTGAACATTTGTACATGCTATGTATCTTTTCATTAAAGGTCGTTGTCTAGTTTTCCTCTTATTGATTCAAAGAAAAGTGAAGGAAAATATGCTAAGAGATGCACCATACTTATCTAAAATTGAGGTGTTATTCTGGTGAATAAACAACATAGGTAACAACATAGCTTTTTCCCCCCAGAGTGGGGGACTCAATTACTAGGGGTCACAATTTCAAGGTGAGAGGGGAGAAGTTTAAGGGAGATATGCGTGGAAAGTTCTTTATGCAGAGGCTCGTGGGTGCCTGGAATGCGTTGCCAGCAGAGGTGGTAGAGGCGGGCACGATAGCGTCATTTAAGATGTATCTAGACAGATACATGAATAGGCAGGGAACAGAGTGATACAGATCATTGGAAAATAGGCGACAGGTTTAGATAGAGGATCTGGATCGGCGCAGGCTTGGAGGGCCGAAGGGCCTGTTCTTGTGCTGTAATTTTCTTTGTTCTTTGTTCTAGGGTCATTTATATGTCAAATAACAGAAGCAGCATGCAAAACTCAGAGCTAAGCAAGCCCACAATCAATGGATCAGATCCAAGCTCTGCAATCCCATCACATCCAGTCATGAATGGTAGTGGGCATGTAAACAATTAATAGAAGCAGAGACTCCAAACATATTCCCATTCTCAAAAACATGGAATCCAAATGCATCAGTTCAAAAGGAAAGGCAGAAGCATTTGTAGCCAACTTCAGTCAGAGGTGTCAAGTGGACATTCACCTCCGCCTTCTCCTTTAAGTCTTAGGCATTACGGATGCTCGCCCTCAGCCAATTCAATTCACTCAGCATAATATGGTGGAACAGGTGGACAGTTGGCAGATGAAGTTCAATGCAGAGAAGTGTGAGGTCATGCATTTTGATCAGAAGAACATGGACAGACAACACAAAATAAGAGGTACAACTCCAAAGAGAGTCAGGAACAAAGGGCCTGTGTGTACATGTGCACAGTTTATTCAAGGTAGCAGGACAGCTGGAGAGATCGGTATGAAAACCATTCCATGTTACACAAAAGACCATTCAAAATCAACAATGGAAATTGCAAGAGCATCAGATATCCAGCTGTTGCAATTTCAAATAGGAGATTAATACGACTTTTAAAAACTGTAGCAGTCATGTTTTTAAATGGAGCGAACACACTGAACTAGATTATCGCATTCCATAAACGCAGAGTCATCACTAATACTAGAACCCATTCAAGTCATCACTGCTGAATGAGAAAGCCAAGGCCGTAAGAATGCTATGATGATCAAGTTAACATGGTTGATGTGGCATACATTGAATTCCAAAAAGTGTTCGATAAAATGCCACATGTGAAGCTTGTCAGTAAAGTTAGAGCCCACTGAATAAAACTGATACTAGCAGCTTGGGTATGAAGTTGGCTGCGAGACAGAAAACAAAGCAGTGAGTCAACGATTGTTTTCCAGAATAGCGCAAGGTATACGGTGGGGTTATCCAGCAATTGTATAAATGATCACAATTTTTCTTGATACATATTAATGACCTGAACACATTGCCAAAATCTGACGATGACACAAATCTCAGAAATATTGCGAACTGTAAGGAAGATAGTGAAAGACTTCAAGTGGATATAGACAACTGATGGAATAGACGAGACACAGGACAGCTAAAATTTAGTGGGGAGAACTGTAAAGTTATACATTTTCATAAGAAGAGACAAGCAATATTGAACAAAAGATGCAATTCTAAAGGCAGAGCAGATTAACAAAGTGGATTAAAAGGCAGGGAGGATCCTGGCCTTTATAAACAGAGGCAGAGTGATTCAGATACTCCAGAAGAGACTTGAAACAGATGGTCAAAATAATGGGCGTTCGAGACAGTGGAGAGAGGAAGCAACTGTTCTCATTGGCTGAAGGGTCAAGAACCAAAGGATACTGATTTAAGATGATTAGCAAAATAACAAAACACTGCTTGAGGAGAAGCTTTTTTATGCCTATTTGTGGTTAGGAATCCTCTGTCTGAGCGTGTTTTGTAAGATTTAAGGGTCTTGGATAAGTCCCTTAACAGAAAAAAAATCCCACATTTAATAGCTTGAAATTCCAATAGTCTGGAATATATCAATTAAGATTAAATTTCATTTTGAAATAAATTTAGAAAATAATTCAACAGTGCTGTATGGTGGGACATTGGGGATTGGTAGTTCTCTGAAGTCATGTATATTACTGGGAAGGCATTCAGAAAAAGACATGCCTCTTTATTTATATGAAGGTCAAAGGCTGGTGGAGGTCGATCTAACTTTACATTATGTCCACAAAGGTCAACCTGAGGTATTTTTGCGCAATTCCTTTGGACTACTTAGAATGGATTTGTCTGAGGCATAAATTTTGTCTCTCATTTGTACAAGGTACTAATCTTTAATAATAAAGGTCTAGAGATGTGTAAAGCAACAGAACAAAACTAAACTACAAATACAAATTGCTAAATTGGTGCATTTATCTAAATTAAAGTTTCATTCAACATGTTTACTGGAATGAATTCACACCATTGACATGAAATGTGAAAAGTTACCTCAGTATTGTGTTGTCTGGTCCTAGTGTTACTACTACAGCCTCTGTAGCTTGGAGGGATAACAGTTTAGCCAATGCTTCTGAAGTTTTACTCTACAACAAAACAAAATGCAAGATGTACAATTAAAAACTGCAATGTTATCAAGAAGACAAATTCCCATCTTGTTATAAAATTATTCTCTTGCCCCTCCACATTAATTCTCCCTCCTCCTTTACAGTCTGATGTATTTTTGCTTCACGTCCTTTTCCTCTTAATATGCGTTCTGCATCCATTTCCCCAGGTCTACTTCTATCTCACATCCCACGCGCCAGTCTCCAGATTTCACTAGAGATGGAATTTCTGTCTCACAAGAGTAGCAAGGCAGCAATACTGCCAAAGAATGCTAGTAAAACACATGACGGTGATTGGGTTTCTCACAGTGCTGACCTTCAACACGAGTCACTAGCAATTAACAAATGCATTGGTGGGTAAAGGCATTATCTGTAGTAGACAGCATTTTTTTCATGGCTGTGGGTGTCCATGGTTGGAACAATATTTACTGTCCATCCCTATTTACCCTCCAGAAGTTGTCTTTTTGAACTACTGCAGTCCATTAGTTGTGGGTAAACCCACAACGCCTTTAATTAGGGAGTTTTGATCCAATGACACCAAAGGAACACCAATATCTTCCAAGTCAGGATGGTGAGTGATTTAGACAGAACATGCAGGTGGTGGTGTTCCCATGTATCTACTGCCTTTGTCCATCTGGATGGTCATGGTCATGGTCATGGAATTGGAAGGTGTTTTCTAAGGAGCTTTGGCAAATTTCTGTAGTGCATCTTGTAGATACAGCACACTGCTGCTACTGAATATAGGTGGTGGAGGAAGTAGTGCCAATCAAGCAGGCCACTTTGTCCTGGACAGTGCCAAGCCTAAGTGTTGCTTGGGCCACACTCATGCTGGCAAGCGAGGAGTATTCCATCACACTCTTACTTGTACCCTGTAAAAGTCAAGCAGGTTCTGGGAGTCAAGATCTGAATTACTTGTTGCATGATTCCTGGACTTGACCTGCCACAAGACTTATATGGTTAGTCTAGTTCAGTTTCTGGTCAATATTAATTCCCCAAGATGTTGATAGAAGGGGATTCAGTAATGCCATTTAATATCAAAGGGCAATGGTCAGATTCTCTTTTCATGGAGATGGTAATTGCTTTGAACCATACGGCATAAATGTTACTTACCACTTGTCAGCCCAAACCTGAATACTGTGCAGGTCTTGCTGCAATCGGACATGGACTGCTTCACTATCTGAGGAGTCACAGATGGTGTTGAACATCGGGCACTCATTAGCGAATATCCTCACTTCAGATCTTACAAAGGATGGTCATTGATGAAGCAGCTGAAGGTGGCTGGATTTAGGACAGTACCCTGACAAACTCCTGTAGTGATGTCCTGGAGCAGAAATATCTGATCTCCAACGCCCATCCTTTGGGCCAGGTATAATGTCAACCTGGTGCCTCCAGTTTTGCTCAAGCTTCTTAAAGCTACAGTTGGTCAAATATGACCTTCATATTAAGGGCACTCTCTCCTCGCTTCTGGAATTCAGCTCCTTTGTCCATGTTTGAAACAAGACTGTAATAATGTCAGGAGGTAACTAGACCTAGTTGATTCACTCCACATGATATCAAAATCATTGGAGGTACTGGATACAGGAAAGGCTTTGGGACCTGACAACATTCCAGCAACAGTACTGAAGGTTTGTGCTCCAGATCTTGCAACACCAGCTGTTCCAATACAGCGATAACACTAGCATCGACCCTACAATATAAAAAAACTGTCCAGGACAAATCCAACCTGGCCAATTACTGTCCCCATCAATCTACTGTCAATTATCAGTAAAGTGATAGAAAGTGTCATCAACAGTCCTAGCAAGCAGCACTTGCATTAGTACGCTGATTGATACGTGCAGAATTGACCAGCGGCTGCATGGCCTAGGGACTGCACAGCATAAAAGGAATGTTGATGTAAAGCTTTTTGCTTTCTTCAGTTAGTGACAAAATCAGTGATCTAAAATAAAACAGAATTTGGGGAGATATGAGAGGACGAGAGAATTGGGTGGGGGGGTGGTGGAGGTGGGAAACAGGGAGGGAGAGAGACAGACAGAGAGAGAGAGAGAGACACACACACAGACACATAGACAGACAGACAGACAGAGACAGAAATTAAGAACTATAACTGTACAGGTAATGAGAAGACTTGCCACAAATATTCAGAAAAAAATTGTGTAAGATAATCCACCACAAAATAACTTTACTAGGTAAACAGTGTATGTTATTACCTTTGCTATATGTTCCAGCCACCTTCCCAAGGCAATAAAGACAAACAGCATTGGAGGAGTATCGAAGAATGTCATTGGACTTTGTTCCGCCTTTTCAGCAATGGCCACAATCAGTATCAGACAGGAATATAAGTATGCAATGGTAGTAGCCAGAACGATGAGTACATCCATATTGGCAGTTTTGTGCTTAAGAGATTTGTAGGCTTGAACGTAAAAGTACCAACCTCCAACAAACTTAAAGACACATATTAATTAGCAAGTCTACTTCAATTAAACATGGTAACATTCAATTAAATATATATCAATGTAGTACAGAATCTGTAATCAACTGCGTACACTATTTTATTCTCATTCATCACTTATCAAGCATTCAATTCTCACTGATGTATTAGGATTTTCTGCGCACAAATTACATTTTCACAATGAAAAAAATCAAGCACTTTTTAGGCAAAAAGGTTTCTTTTCTAGAATTACATCTTTTTAAAGCAGTATGTAATTTGGAATTGAATAAATTCTAAATTCGTACATTTATTTTAGTCAGGAGAAAAGGATAATCATTGTAAACCAAGACTGCTGACTAGTGACAGAGCAAGGTCCGGTTTCACACTGGTTACTAAGTTAATCAAATACTTTACTAATCATGGTGCTTTACAAAACTTGGATTTCTTAACCACTGGGAATTAGCAAATTTTGAAGCCCACACTACTACACTTTGCTGTAGATTTTTGTAGAAAATGCAAGATGTGTTTCAGAGGAACTACAGAAAATAAGCACTTTAGGTCGAGAAAATATTATTTATCTTTCAAAGATATTGTGATATTGATGGTGGCATCCATTCAACTTGGGAGAAGACATACTCTGCCCAAGGCATGTGTCAACTCTGGATTGTGTTATGGCTGTAGAGGCCAATTCGTAAATCATAGTCTTTCTGCAGCTGGCACGGGTGCATAGTGTTGGTCCAAGCTCTAGTAATAAATACAAAGTTGCTGGAAAAACTCAGCAGGTCTGGCAGCATCTATGAAGAAAAAAAAAATCAGAATTAACGTTTCGGGTCCAGTGACCCTTCCTCAAAAGCTCTAGTAATGTTTCTTTCCTGGGGGTGGCATTGGGTGGTGGCTGCAGAAGATTTCTTTTCTGCCATCCAGTCATTTCTTTTGTCATCTGCTTCTTCTACACGATGCCTGACTGCTTGACTCCAGACACTCCAGTCAGCAGTAGGGATTTCCATGTATTATCTCAGGTCCCAGTCATCTTGGGGTCTGGATAGCAGACATCCATGGTCAGGAGAAATGGGCAACCTATTAGTCTCATGTTGATAGCGAGCTTTACATGAAGCATGTCATTGGGGATGTAGCCATCATCCATTTCATTCACATGACCTAATCAAACAGGCATCACTGACCCAAGACAGCAAACAGACAAAGCATTACTGCACACTGATGTACTTCCATAATTGACTCTGTCTTTCTCAGAGAGGCCCAATATATTCTCCTCAGGCAACGGAAGTGGAAGCGGGTCAGCCACTTTCTTAGCTTGCACAGGCTGTCCACACCCTGCTACTGTAAGATAGTGCTGAGACCATAAGCCTGGTACAAATATATTTTTTAGGCACTTTGCGTTGGTCCACACTAACTTCTTGACTTTGAGATGACATATTTTGGCAGTCTTGGTTCTAATTTCAGCAAAGTTTGCCAGTAATTGTAGATCCAAGGTATGTGAATGTTATCAATGTTGATAGAGGGTGAAGTCTCTACTCCTTGGCTCATAACATAGGTTTTCCTCATGCTGATGGTCAGTTCAAACTCTGTTAAAGTAGTTTCTCCCCTATTCACAAGCAGTTGCGAGTGAACTTTAGCATGGGATATCACTTCAATGAAAAGTGCAGGAGTGTATGACAGGTACAGCACCAAGTATACATAAAGGTGAGAATTCAAGCTGGCGACGCTGCAAAATAGGACTACTTGCACGTCAATTAGCGCAAGCGACAAGTGTTAGACCAAGCTAAGCAATTCCACAAACAATGGATCAGGTCTAAGTTCTGTAGTCCTGCCACATTGGACAATTAAACAACCCACTGAAGGAGGAAGCTCTACAAACATCCCCATCCTCAATAATAGGGAAATCCAGCACATCAGTACAAAAGAAAAGACTGAAGCAGTCACAACAACCTCCAGCCAGAAGTGCTGAGCAGATGATCCATCCCGATATCCTCCAGCGGGCCACAACATCACAAATGCTAGTCTTCAGCCAATCTGAATCACTCCACGAGATCGAGAAACAGTTTGAGGCACAGGATACTGCAAAGGTTATTTGTACAGAAGACTTGTGCTCCAGAACTTGCAGCACCCGTAGCTAAGGTATTCCAGTACAGCGACAACACTGGCACTTATGCAGACAAATGGAAAATTGCCCGGACTTCCTGTACGCAAAAAGGACAAATCCAAACCGGCCAATTACTGCTCCATAAGTCTACTCTCCATCATCCGTAAACTGATGGAAGGTGTTAACAACAATGCTACCAAGCAGCTCTTGCCCAGTGACATTCAGTTCGGGTTCTGCCAGGGCCACTCAATTCCTGACCTTATTACAGCCTTGGTTTAAACGTGAACAAAAGAACCGAATTCCAGAGATAAGAGGAGAGGGATGTCAAGGTAGTAGTCATTAAGTAGTCACTAAGTCATTCACTTAGTGTTTTCACAACGACCAGACATCTCAAAGCTTCTTACAGCCAATCAAAGCCTTTTGAAGTGTATTTGCTGTGGGACTGGAGGAGACACAGCAACCAATTTATGCAAAGCATTCTCCCAGAATGAGGAAAATGATCACGATCAAATAATCTGAATAAGGGATAAATACCTGGAAGGTCACCATGAATAATTCCCCTGCTCTTTTTCAAAACAGTACTATGGGATCTTTTACATTCAACCAAGCAAGCAGTTTAGCACTTCCTCAGAAAAATGAGACTTCATACAATGAAGTACTCCCACAGTACTGTATAGAGTGCCAGCTTTGATCTCTGTGCTCAAGCCCTGAAGCAGGACTTGAACCCTCTGACTCAGAAGTGGGACTGCTACCATGCCAAAACTGACATTCTAAGTTTAATGTTAATTTGGATTTAATTTGACCACATTTGACCGGCAGGAGTCAGCTCCTTGGGGAGAGTGAGCCGAGCACAAAGGGAGCAAGCCTTTAGGGAGCTCACAGTGGAAGTGAATGTGGATCCCCCAGTGAGTGATGCATCAGCCCGCCCCACTGGAATGGGGCGTCTTCGATGCTGGTGGGCCCAGCGCAGGACTAGAGGTGGTGGCAGCTCCATCGACTTTCAATGGCAGAATGGCCTCAACGATCGGCAGAGAAGGTGACATCTGCGGTCGGCATCAGTCAGCTGCAGCAATGCGGTAGGCCCAAATCAATACGCCAGGTAGATCGACAGTTGCTTCGGCACTGGTGTGGTAGGCCCAGTGTGGAGACTCCTGGAATGGACTGTGCTGGGAAAGCATGACAAAGAGGAGATCAAGCTCCTGTAGGAAGTGTGGTTCCAGCGTGGCTAAGCACTTTCCAAAGACAGTAATGTTTGACTTGTAGATTTATTTCTTTATTTTCCTACTTAATACTAAGAATTACTGCAATGTTTAACTTTGTTGTGTCTTTCTACCTTGTTCTTATGATTCTGTACATAGGCACCTGTAGCTAAGATGGCACCTTGTGAGGCAACATTATGCAGTTTTCACTATACTCCTGTACTTTTGTAATTGAGTACACGCAACAATAAAGTCTAAATTACAAATTAGTTTTGCAGTACTGCTGCAAATTTATTTGATACTATGTTTGCATTTTAAATAAAGCTTTTTTTGTACACTTACCTGAACAGGTGTACACAAAACAAAGAATGCCAGATTAAGAATTGATAAACCTGGTATAATGTTTTGTTCAGGAGGCATGGAGCCATTGTGCTTGTCATCCATTACTATCATGTATATCATTAGTCCAAAGACTGGGATGCCAAAAAGAAGGCTAAACAAGAAGGACCTCTTCCACCTAACATAAATACAAAATATTAAATAATTATTTTCATAGTAAATGAAAGTTTTCTATTTCTATTAAGAGAATAATTGATAGGCTTACTGTTTAATTTCCTCTTTATGGTCCAGATTATGCATAGCTGTATCTCTTCTGACTAAAGAAGCACCGAAGCCAAGTTCCTATAGTGGAAATGAAATTTAGCAAATAAAAATGTGAAAGACAGTTATACAGAATGGAAAATGTTTATCCATCAATATATATCACATCCTCAAGAGATTAAATTAGTTTCCATTCATAAGTTGCTCAACTTATTGTACTATGTCCTACTGTGGTAAATATTAGCTTGGCTTTGTGATTCCTCACAAAGAAGTAGAATGCTCCATTAGAAAATGACTCATTTGTAGTTTTAGCATGCCACTAATGAATAAAGAGAAAACAATTAAAATTGAGGCAGGGATACATGAAAAAATAAGAAAAAAATATAAGGATGAATGGGATGAGGACATCTGAGAGGGATATTTATGGAAAAATAAAAATTGAAAAAAAAACACCAAACGAAAGATTAAAGTTTGTGCAAATATTAGCAAAGCCAGACTACTAAAAAGATGAGGTGGGACTCCTGAGAGGATAAAATTGTTTCTGAAAAAGATGCTTGTAAAAGTATCTGCAAAAAATGGCAAAGATGTTTATGCATAAGTAAGGAAAAGAGAAGTGATTAGTCTTGAAGTAGTTGCGAAGGAGGTAACCAATATTATGATGGATAAAAGGCACATTTCAGATCAGTTAGTTACCAAAATGACAAAACATTGCAGGGAGGATGGGTTGCAGAGAAAGAAAGCAAACGGGAAAGAAATAAAAGACCGTGAGACACAGGATTAGAAAGCCATTCAGCCCATCAAGCCAGTTCTGCCATTCAATTAGATCATGGCTGATCTGATAATCCTCAACTCCACTTTCCTGCCATTTCCGCATAATCTTGATCCCCTTACAGATGAAAAATCTGAAGTACATGAACAGGAAGGGAAGTTAAAAAGTGAAATACAGACCTATCTTGTGATATTTGATCAATTATGTTACTATGTCTTTATTCATCCCAGGGTACATATAGTGCCATAGAGTCATTAGCACAGAAACAGACACTTCGATCCAACCAGTCCATGGTGAACATAATCCCAAACTAAACTAGTCCCACCTGCCTGCTCCTGGCCCATATCCCTCCAAACCTTTCCTATTCATGTACTTATCCAAGTGTCTTTTAAATGTTGTAACTGTGCCCACATTCACCACTTCCTCAAAGTTCATTCCACACGTGAACTACCCTCCGTAAAACATTTGCCCTTATGTCTTTTTCAAATCTTTCTCCTCCTACTTTAAAAATGTGCCCCCTAGTCTTGAAATCCTCCATCCTAGGGAAAGACATCTACCGTTAATCCTATCCATACCCCTCATGATTTTATAAACCTCTATAAAGGTCACTTCTCAACCTCCTACACTCCAGTGAAAAAGTCCCAACCTATCCAGCCTTTCATACCCAGCAATATCCTGGTAAATCTCTTCTGAGCCCTCTCCAGCTTAATAATATCCTTCCCGTAACTTGCTGACCAAAACTGGATGCAGTACTCCAGACAAGGCCTCACCATTTCCTGTACAATCTCAAGATGAATTCCTAATTCCTATACTGAAAGAACTGAACAATGTAGTCTAGGTAGCTGTGGGAGTCGGTGGACTTGAAATAGATGTCGATTTCGAGGCGGTCACCAGAGATGGAGACAGAGAGGTCCAGAAAGGAGAAAGAGGTATCAGAGATGGCCCAGGTGAACTTGAGGTTAGGGTGAAAGGTGTTAGTAAAGTTGATGAACTGTTCAAGCTCTTCGTGGGAGCACGAGGCAGCTCCGATACAGTCACTGATGTAGTGGAGGAAGAAATGACTATTACCCTAGACTACCACCTCCTCTCACCCACCTTGCTGCAAGACTGTGATCCCCTACTCCCAATTCCTCTGCCTCCACCATGTCTGCTCCCAAGATGGGGCGTTCAACTCCCGAATATCCCAGATGTCCTCTGATTTCAAAGACTGCAACTTCCCCTCTTTGGTGGTCGAAAATGCTCTCGACCGTATCTCTTGCACTTCCCACACCTCTGCCTTCACATCCCCTCCCTGCAACAAAAACAAAGACAGAATCCCCCTTGTCCTCACATATCACCCCACTAACCTCCAAATTAAATGTATCATTCTCCGCCACTTCCGCCACCTGCAATCCGACTCCAAAACCAAAGATATATTTCCCTCCCCAACCCTACCTGCCTTCTGTAGGGACCGCTCCCTCCACGACTCCCTCGTCCACTCCACACTCCCCACCACCCCCAGCACCTTTCCCTGCAACCGCAAGAAGTGCTGCATCTGCCCCCCCACTTCTCCCCTCACCTCCATCCAAGGCACTAAACAAACCTTTCACATCAGACAGAGGTTCACCTCCACATCTGTCAATGTGGTCTACTGCATCGCTGCTCCTGACGTGGCCTCCTCTATATCGGTGAGACCAAGCGGATGCTTGGAGACCGCTCTGTACAGCACCTGCCTCTGTTTGTGACAAATGACAACACCTTCCAGCCATAAACCATTTCAACTCCCCCTCCCACTCCCTGGGCGACATGTCCATCCTGGGCCTCCTCCAGTCTCACAACGATGCCACCCGCAAACTGGAGGAGCTGCACCTCATTCTGCCTTGCGAACATACAACCCAATGGTCTCAATGTGGACTTTACCAGTTTCAAAATCTCCCCAACCCTGGCCTCATCCCATGACCAACCCTCCCTCTCATCCCCGCCTCCTTGACCTGATATAACCTGTCCATCTTCTCTCTCACCTATCAGCTCCTCCCATCTCATTGACTAATCCCCACCACTACCTACCTGCACTCACCTATCACCATTCCACCTACCTTCCCCAGCCCCACCCCTCCTCTTTCTATTTATTTCAGAGCTCCCTTCCCCCTTCCCCATTTCTGAAGGGTCCTGACCCAAAACATCAACTTTCCTGCTCCTCCGATGCTGCCTGGCCTCCAGCTCCACACTGTTATTGCTGACTCCAGCATCTGCAGTTCTTACTATCTCTTAAGGATAATCACATGATTACATTCAGTCATCCAAGATTGACCGCATGGTGCACCATCTTTCTGTCTGCCGTTTAATCTCTCCTGTCTTGCGTCTTAAATGCTATTATATCTTCTGACTTATTCAGTTTTAACGATAGATGCTGCCTGAATTGCGGACTACTTTTGGAATTTTCCACCTTTATTTCAGATTGCCAGTATCCGAGTTTAGCTTTCTAACATACCTCAATCATTCTGATGACATCACGTGGGCCCAGTAATTCTGGATCCAATTTAATGTGTGCTTTGCTGGTAGCAAGGGCCACAGACACATACAAAATGCCATTAATCCTCATTAATTTTGATTCAATATTGTGAACGCAAGAGGCACAAGTCATTCCTGTAATCTAAAGAAATTGAATTATGTAGCAAAAAAAAGAAATATCTTCAAATGAAAAAGACAATACTAACACTGTTAACTAAATATTCAGAAATAAAACCAGAGAATTAAATCATTCAGATTTATTGCCTAAGATTCTCAGCACAATCTCTAACCATTTGGCAAATTAAAAAAACTATGAACCCAATATGATCTCATTAAGACAGTTAACACATGCTGTATTTATTTTCATTACTTAGAGCTAATATAGATCAACAAATTTCATTTATACTAATACTTATAGATGAAATTTTATTCTTGTACAGAGTTTGAGTTCTCTTGCATCTCACTCAAGAGGACTGCTGAAGCAGACAATAATCCACTTCAAATGATCCATTAAAAATAATTACAAAGAAGGTGCAGCAAGATAAAAAAATGATTTATTTCTATACCAGACAACAAGGTGC